ACATGCGCACACGCACACCACACCACATGCGCACACGCACACCACACTACACACGCACACAGTTGCCTGCGGGTAGAATCAAACCCAGGTCCCTGGCTCTGAATGGCAGAAGTCCTACTGAGCCACTGTGTCACCTGAATAAAGCCCTAACCAATCCAGTCTCTTTCTGTATGTCAGTCCTGCCATCCCAGGAATCCGTCCAGTGCTTCACTCCCTTAATAATTCAGTCTCGCAACCGCCAATGCCCAGTAGCAGCATCTACAAGATGTGCTGCAGCATCTGATCAAGGTTCCACTTTCCAAATCTAAGACCACTGTCATCTCGTAGGACAAGTGCGCCATACGTATGGGAACACCACATCCTCCAGGGCACACACACAATTCTGACTTGGAACTATATCATCATATGTCTTTGGCTCCGTGTACTGCCACAGGCCATTGGGAGGGTGGAGGGTTACCTACAACGCTGTTCGGGAAGAGCAACAAAGGGGCAACTGCATTAACCATCGACTGAAGAACAATGAAATATTGGAGAGAGGCTCAAAGCTGGACCAGAGGGCAAGGGGGGTACCACTGAAAGACTGGAAATTAGCTTTTACCTCCATTGTCACTTCATTCACTTCCGTGGGCACACACTCTAGCCCTTCATCGCTGCAGCACCCAGCACATCTCCTTAGAAGCACACAAGAAGGCTTGAAGATGTGCTCCACTTCCTCTGGATACTCCTGCAAAATGTCAACTAGAATCTCCATGGGTTGACAATGGCTCCTGTTCCACACCTCCATGAATTTGATGACTGCAATAGAAAGGAAGAAGAGAAAGGTGATTTGCAAACAGTGGACTGCCCTCAAGATTTCAAAATCAACTGGGAGCCTTTCCATCTCATGCAAGAAAATCACAGCGGAGGCTGGAAATCCGAAACGAGGAACTCGGCAAGCCTGGCAGCATCTGTGGAGACGGAGAGAAACAGACTTAACGTTTCCAGTTTGGCGTGACTTCTTCAGGACAAGAAGACTCTTCTGAAGAAGATTCACATGAAACGTTAACTCGCTTTCTCCCCAGACAGATGCGGCTGGACCTGTAGATTTTCTCCAGCCATCTCTGCGTTGGTTTAGGAACATTTCCCCTGTTCCCTCGAGAGATTACCCCTTGGGGCCCAGACTGCGATGGACCTACAGTCATGGAACCCACAGGGGCCTGACCACTCAGCTCACAAAACCCGGCCGGTGTGCCCGGTGTGCCAGCTTAGCTTCAACGTCAAACCCCGCACCATCCTCAATTCAGATCTATTTCCACAGCAGATGAGGATGGGGAAGGGAAGCGTGTTATGTTTGAGTGGAGGTAAGTGTCAATGAGAAAGTTTGATTTACCGGCTCACTGAGTGGTTCCTAGCCCAGCAAATGTCGCAATCCTCACCCTTACTGTCACATCTCTCTCTGCGACCTTGTCTATAACCTTCTCTGGCCCCATAACCCTCTGAGATATCCGGCCTCCTCTAATTCTGGCTTCTTACACAGCTCCCAAACTTAATCACTCTGTCAATGCCTTCCAGCTACTTGGGTCTGATGCTTTCTAATTCCATCTCTGCCTCACTTTTGTCTCTGTCTCCTCCTTCAAAACTCAATGTCATATTCAGTTTGGCCGAGGGCATGTGAAATGCCTTGGTACGTCACACTCCTTTTATAGGCGCTATATAAATACAGCCCAGCCATCGTTGAGCAGGAGCAGGCAAGCCGACCCCAGAGATGGGAGGCCGGGTCACCGAGTGCAAGAGGTGGCGGTGGGGGGGTTGTTTTTCACTGATTAGTTCAAAGTGAAAATCAGATTGCCAGGAGGAGGATAAGGTCTGCATGCTGGGGTTGGAGGTGAAAAGTAGAAAGGCAACAAGACTACAAATCTCTGGATTAAGTAACACCATTCCTGCAGGATACAAGTTGCTCCCAAAACTGGAAGGGTTGAGGATTTGATGGGGTCTGTGATGTAGGGCACTGCGTTGACTCTTCTCTGTCACCACCATTCAGTTGTGACTGGGAAAACCATCTGTCCACACTGTGATAAAAAGGTGTAGAGCTGGACGAAATCTCTGAAGAAGGGTCTAGACCCGAAACGTCAACTTTCCTGCTCCTCTGATGCTGCTTGGCCTGCTGTGTTCATCCAGCTCCACACCTTGTTATCTCAGAATCTCCAGCATCTGCAGTTCCCACTATCTCTGTCCACACTGTGCTTCTGTTCGCCTGGAGACATATCCCCCCTCGGTGCTGTTTGTGCAGATTAAACAGATGATAAGGATGTTGTTTAGCCTGATAGCAAAATGGCTTAATTTGGCCTGTGGTCGACTCTCAGACTGTCGGCCCTGTCAAGACAGTGTGACCCGTTCGCTGAGGTTGGACCCTCAATTACAAGCAGCCTCTTATCTTCATTTTGAGGCGGCGGGCTGGAGGGGGAGTCAGAGTGTTGCAGGATTGTGGAATGATCAAACGGAGCACGAGGAAGTTAAAAAAAGAGCCGTGTTTGCCCCGCCACAGAGATGTTTTAACTCTCTACCACCTCAATAGTAACCCGATGAAAAATGCCTACAAAAATTGCCCTGACGTTGTGAGAGTCACATTCAAAACACAAAGCTTTCTTTCTTCAGGAACTATTATTATGTGTGTGCAATAACCTGTAGTGTCTCTACCTCTGAGCCACAAGGCCCAGGTTCAAATCCCACCTTCGCCAGAGATAATCTCTGAGAAGGTTGATTAGACAATATGCTACAATAGTCATTGTTGCATATTGGCTAATAGACCCAAGAAAAGCAGAAGGAGACTATATGGACCCTCTGGACATCATTTGTCATTTAACAAGTTCAAGACTGGGCCCCCAAATAAATCTCCTTTGTCCATTTACTCCCCCACACCTTCCTGGACAGTACTAAAATTGATCGATTTTCACAAACTCAAAGACAGACATCCCCTAGCCTCCCAGGGTGGGGGGTAAACCTCACAGCCCTTTGAATAAAGAGATTCCCCTTCAGTCATTGATGTCTACAGCATGGAAACAGGCCCTTCAGCCCAACTTTTCCCACACTGCCCCATTTTCACAATTAAAGTATCCCACTTGCCTGAAATTGGTCCATATTCCCCCCGATACCTATCCCACCCACGTACCTCCCAGTTTATTGGGGCCCCTCATCCCAAGGACCATCACCTTGCTTCCCCACCCTCTCAACTGTGATGTACTAGAATCCCTAACAGGGTGGAAACAGGCCCTTTGGCCCAAAAAATCCACACCAACCCTCAGAGCATCCCACCCAGACCCATCCCCCTATAACCTACCTAATCTACACATCCCTCAACACCATGGGCAATTTAGCACAGCCAATCCACCTAACCTGCACATCTTTGGGCTGTGGGAAGAAACTGGAGCACCTGGAGGAAACCCACACAAACATGGGGAGAATGTGCAGACTCCACATAGACAGTCACCCAAGGGTGGAATCGAACCCAGGTCCCTGGCGCTGTGAGGCAGCAGTGCTAACTGCTGAGCCACCGTGCCACCCCTTCAGACAGGGTGTTCTTCAGACAGAGGAAAGAATTTCTTAGCATCTACCCCGTACAGTCCTATGAGTTTCAACATTGGAATGCAGAACAAGAGTAACTGTACTGGGAGTACCTCGAGATGTTACAGACTCTCTTTACCACCTCTCACCACCATTATCCTCAGGGACAAATTCAACTCAATGCAAACAAGCTAATCCACGAAGGTTAATCTGCGCTTGTTACAAAATAAAATAAAAACTCAGATTGATTCACTGTTTGGCATGTCATGACTGACTGTGGTTTGGAAACTTGGGGTTTCCTTTTCTGCTTAGTCAGTTCTGATTTGCCATAGCTTGTAAACTCAGTTGTTCCCGGTATCCATGGCACCAGCTTCAATTGCTTCTGACATCATCCAGAACACAAGGGTTCACAGATGTGTGTGTCCACAGATCCCTGAAGGTGGCATGTTCATAGGGGCAGTGAAGAAGGCAGATGGGACTCTTGCCTTTATCAGTCGAGGCACAGATCCTAGGAGCAGGGAGGTTATGTCGGAATTGTACAGGGCTTTGGCTAGGCCACAGCTGGAGTATTGTGCGCAGTTCTGGTCACCGCACTATAGGAAGGATGTGATTGAAGGGGGTGCAGAGGGAGATTCACCAGGATGTTGCCTGAGGTGGAGCAATTAAGCGATGAAGCGAGACTGGATAAGCTCAGGTTGATTTCTTTGGAGCAGAGAAGGTTGAAAGGGGGACGTGATTGAGGCGCATGGTCGAGGTGAATAGAAAGCAGCTGTTCCCCTTAGTTAAAGGTAAACAACAAGGGGGTACAGTTTAAAGTGAAAGGCATATGGTTTAAGGGCATTTGAGGTAAATAATTTTCACCCAGTGGATGGTGGGGATCTGGAATATTGAGGCAGGAAACCACACAACATTTAAAAAAAAAGGTGCTTGGATAGACACTTGAAATGTCATAACAGTCAAGCTATGGGCCTAGGACAGAAGAGTGGAACTATTGTAGATTGTGACTCTGTGTGTGCGTGTGCGTGTGTGCGTGTGTGTGTGAGACACTGCAAGACTGTCACCCTGGGCAAAAGATCCTGCCAACAGAGCAGTGGTGAGCAAGGGGAGAGGGGTGGGGGAGCAGAGGACTTGTAAAAGAGATAGGTTGGCGTCAGGACACTCTTCCTGCTTTTCCAGGGTGTGAATCCCTCCCCCGGCCCACCATCCCTTTCCCCTCAAGACCCTGATATCCTGAACGAATGGACACTTAAAGGCTTTACCGCACCTTGAGTGCAATTTTCCCACTCCGCAGTGACGTGCAACTGGCCAGCTCCAAGCAAGTGGGACACTGTGTCCCAGGGTCCCCCAGTCTGATATTCAGATACTGAAGCCCCGTACTCACAGGTCACTGCAGTGCCAAGGGAGCGCTGCATTGGTGGAGGTGCGCCGTTTCAGATGAAAGATGAAACTGGGTTTCCCTGACACTATTTCAAAGGATTAGAGTTGCACTTCTTACAGACTGAGCCCACAGCCACCAAAGAGGTCATTTAATTTATCCCAACTTTCTGTGGACTGAGAAAAACGAGGGGATCTTAGTCAGGACAACAGAAGAATCAAAAACTGTAGAAGGATAAACCCATGCTGCGTGATTGTGATGGGGAATTCTGTCTGAACCAAATTGAGGGATTGGCCTTTACAATTCTCTGTCTGACCTTCAGTATTGTCCTTCAGCTGTCCCAGCTATGCCATCTTAGAATACCAACAGCTTTCACACTCTCTTTTGCTCACAGACAGAATCTCTCACTCTCTCTCTCTCTCTCTCTCGCACACGTACACACAGAAACAGGACCTTTCACATATATACATTCTCACACGCGCACACACACACAGACTCACACAGAGAGACAGACACACACACACAGACACACAAACAGAATGGCTCTCGCATGTGCAGACACACACAAACCCTTTCATACTTACACATTCTCACTCTCACAGACAAAAACCTCTCTCTCACACTCTCACACATACAGAGACAGAATCTCTCTCACACTCCGACACACACAAACACTCACTCAAACACTGACACACCCACGCACACATACAAACACATACACCAACTTCCCTGCCCTGACCAACCCTCACCCCTCTGCGATCTCACAATCCAAATAAAGTTATATTTGTGAAAAAAGGGAGTAGACAAAGATTTTGAACATAAATTGCAGTAATGAAAGCTTCATCATCAGAGACATGGAGGGATTAAGCTGCACTCTAAAGCAAGAAACTGTGATGGCAATTTGGCAAGAAGGCAGGTCAATGAAGGACAAGCCTCTACTGTATGACCTTGTCTCATGTTGTTGCTGTTCAATTGCATTTTAAAGATGGCCTTTAAAACCAGATCTGCGCTGGTATCTTATCTTCTCTTTTTCTCAACTGTACACAGAGCTGTTTATTCAGTTTACTATCTCTCTGCCTCATAACCAGGAGCCCCTGTCCCCCCCTCCCCTCCCCCACCACTGCTGAAACCAAACCGACCCCAATCTATGGTGGAGTGTGGTGCAATATAGGAGAACATTACATTAATGAGGCACTGCACATCCTTAGACCCACTCTGCTTTGTGTTGTAATTTTCAAAGTCACTCTCAAACTGACACAGGAGAACTTCCTTCAGGCTGGGGACATGTGTTACCTGAACTCTGATTTCTATCCAATTTAACAACTTGCTGGCAATTTTGGGTCCTTTGTGTATTCTCCTGGACTTTCCAAAGCAAACACACATGACATCAGTCCCTCTGTAGAAGACTGCATTCAGGAACATCTCTTGTTGTTTGGCTCCCCACTCTAAGAGCCAGGGGACAGAAGGAAAGGATTTACATTTCTGTAATGCCTTTCATGGTCATCAGACATCCCAAAGTGCTGGTCCAGCCAATGAATGATGTGCCACTGAGGTGAAGAATTGATAGAGGGAACATTGTGTGCTGCCATTTCCAAGTAAAGTCCCAGCAGCCCCGCACCATCGTTTATACTGGTTGAGATCTGGGGATGTAAAAATCAATACGATCACCTGAAACTATCCAGTCCCCTCCCTTCCACTACCACACGCACTGTCAATCCTCACCACCCATACCTTACCACTCCCCACACAATCTTATTGTTGCCACAAGAGTTGGCCACCATTGCCAGACAATGTTATCACCTCAGGCTGCCTGGGCTGGAAAGTTTCAGTTATAGGGAGAGGCTGGCACTTTTTTTTCGCTGGAAGCGCAAGAGGTTGAGACTTATAGAGGTTTATAAAATCATGAGGGGTATAGATAGAGTAAATGACAGGTGTCTTTTTCCCTAGGGTGGGGGATTTCAAGATCATATTTTTAAGGTGAGAGGAGAAAGATTTTAAAAAAGGACTTTGGGGCAACTTTTTTTACACAGAGAATGGTTTGTGTGTGGAATGAACAGCCAGAGGAAGTGGTGGATGCGAGTACAGTTACATCATTTAAAAGACTTTTGGATAAGCTCATGTTTAGGAAGGGTTTGGAGGGATATGGGCCAAATGCAGGCAGGTGGGACTAGTTTAGTTTGGGACTATGGTCGGCATGGACTGGTTGGACCGAAGGGTCTGTTTCCGCACTGTGTGACTCTATGACATGCTGCAACTAACAAGAAACAGTCAATCTGAGCGCTGTGCTTTCCAAAGCAAACACACATGACATCAGTCCCTCTGTAGAAGACTGATTACAGGAGGTACACTGAGGTTATATGGTAGCACTTGAGATGAAGACATTCATGCGCCTGAGTTTCCAATTTATATCCCCATTACACTAGGCCTTTCCTCGCAACCCTTAAAAGAAATTGTAGAAAAAAGAACAATTGTGTAAGAATTTGTCAGAAGCTGAGGTGACATTATATAATTTGTATTAAAATAAAGGAAGAGGTAAGTTGATTATTATTATGTACATATTGAGTCACAAACTATGGTTCCAAATGTGTGAATAGAAAGACAAACCTAACAACTGTAAGGTGTGGTCTCAAATTTGATCAGATGCTTGTTGACTAGCTCTACAGATATCAATGTCTGTATCAGTACCTTTACCTGTACAGGTATCAGTGCCTGTGTTTGTATTTGTGTCTCCATTGGTACCTGTACAAATATCAGCACCTGTGCATATATTAATATCTGTCGTAATGAGAGCCTGTGCCTCTATCAGTACTTGTCTAGTATGGATGCCTGTATAGAAGTCAGTACCTGTCCCTGTATGGCTTTCAATTCCTGTCCAGTAACTCTGCCTTAACAGCTATCAGTGCCTGTATCAATCAACACATATACCAGCACTGAATCTTGAGCTGAATGCCAAGTTAATTTGCTGCAGACTTTGCTACGATACTAAAAGGGATTTACACTGGTGCAAGGAGAGAACCCTGGTGATCGCAGGTCCAGAGATCACTGAAATCACATGGTGCCCATGTTCTGGAAAATCCTGCATAGCAGCAGTTAGCCTTTCACACCAATTGACTCTGTCATGCCAGTGGAAACAGTTTCTCTTCATTTAATCAATCCAAACCTCTCATAAATTCAAACGCCTTGATTAACCTCTTGTCTGTGCGCTGTTCCAGTTGCTCCTCCTACACTACCTGCAATGCAGCCTACGAATCTCTTAAAGCTCTTTCTGCACCCTCTCTCATCCTGTGCAAGGTGTACTGCCCACAATTTGGCCTGATATTACAACAAGTGATCTCTAGAGTTGATGGTGGTGTTAGGGTAATAATAGTAACTTTGTGATTTGGGGTACTAGGTTCAAATTCTCCTGATAACTGCTTTGGAGAGCGAGGGTGGGGGGCGGTGGGGGTTGCTGTTTAACTTAATAAGTTTGGAACTGGAAAGTTAGTTTTAGTAACCATGAAAGATATTTAACAGTCGTTAGCAAAACCCATTAAGGAAGGGAATCTGAAACCAAAACAGAAATTGCTGGAGAAACTCAGCAGGAATGACAGCATCTGTGGGAAGATAGCAGAGTTAATGCTTCGAGTCTTCTTAACCAAAACATTAACTGTGTTTTCTCTCCACAGATGCTGCCAGACCTGCTGAGTTTCTCCAGCAGTTCCGGCTCTTGTTTCGGATTTCCAGCATCTGCGGTTCTCTATTTCAGGAGGGGAATCTGCTGGTCTCCATGTAACTCTGCAGCAATATGTTTGACATTTAACCCAAACAGGCCACTCAATTCAAGGATAATTAGAGTTGGCAACGAAAACACAAATCTCACCAGCAACGGCCAGACCCCATGGAAAAAGGATGAAACTTTACTCGCACCGATGCACAAGCAACATGCCACGCACAAGGTAAACGGCAAATATTTGATGGAATGTTGGTTGATTTATTGTTGCCACATGTACCAAGAGACAGTGAAAAGTGTTGTTTTGTGTGCTGTACAGCCGTACAAAGTGCATCAGGGCGGCAGAACAGAGTGTAACCTTCAGTGTTACAGCCACAGAGAAGGTGCAGAGACAGAGAGAGATCAGAATTAACATTTGAGAGGTCTGTTCAAAAGTCTGATAACAGGAGGGAATAAGCTGTTCTTGAATCTGTTTGTGCATGTATTGAAACGTTTATAAAAACCGAAAGAACAACGGATGCTGTAAATCAGAAACTTTTATATCTTCTGCCCAACAGAAGAGGGTGGAAGAGGGTAGAATCAGAGTGGGAGGGGCTTTTGATTATGTTGGCTGCCTTCCAGAGGCAATGGGAAGTATTAATGTGGTCTCTGCACTTCGAGGGGAGGTAGAAAGTTTCAGAATGGCTAACCTGCGTCTAACCGGGCTGCCAGGAGGAAATGGATGGCCATTCACTCCCATCACACTTCGCCACCAACATCAGGCGCAACAAAGAACCCAGTTTGCGTGTGTGTTGGGAGTGGGTGGGGTGGTGGGATGGGGGAATGGTGCTGCGGGAAAGGTATGGAAGGAAGACGGCTGCACTGCCGCAGGTGACCAGAAGGTGGCAATCTAAGCCTGTGCTGAGAGCCGGCAGAGTTGCATGTAACATTTCAAGTGGAACACGATCCCAAGACTGGTTCGCAAATCAATAGGACTACAGCAGGTTCATTTACCTTCACTTCTCCGTGGTTTTTCGTTCGGGATGTGCGCCATCTACACAGCCAACGACCGAAGTAAACAATTATATAACGGGGGGGTGGGAAGGGAACGAAAAAGATAAAGAGAAGGACAGATTAGAAACAGTTATTAAACAACCACACACACACACAAAAATTAAAACTTGGCTTCTATCGCTCAGTTAAATGAACTAACAGGCAGATACAATTGCAAGAAAAAAACCTGTGTTCCATCCACAGACACGAGGGTGACATTTTAAACCATGTTCATTTTGAATTATAAAACAAAATACACATAGGGACAGGAGAAAGAAGCCACTCGGCCTTTCGAAACTATCCCACCCCCAAAAAAAAATTTAAAAAAAAACACATCTCTGCCAACACAAGGGAGGGAGGGAGAGTTTAATAGCTACTGGACTCCTCCGGGTCAAAATGGGATCGGCAATGTTTATTTATTTTGAAATCTGACCTGCTGGCTCCACGTTTCAACTTTACACACGCACACAGAGAGGGAGAAAAAAATTACGCAAGCTTGGGTCCGCTACTGTGAGGAATGATTGCAAGGTGTTTCTGCAAGGCACGGAGACTCTGTGTGTTGAGCTCTCCAAGGCACGGCACCACCTGCTCTGAGCCAACCCGGCTCAGGCTGGGGACTGGGGCTGTCTCCAGGGACAGGGACAGGGCTGGGACAGAGGGCGGAGAAAGTGAGGGTAAAATAGGATGAGGTTGGGAGGGGGATGCAGATGGAGAGGGCAAAGGACAGAGATGTGAAGGGCTGGATGGAAGAGGAAATAGGTAGAACGAGGCCAGAGGGAGCAGGAGAGGTGAATGAATAGAAAAACAACACAGTAAGTCACAGCTTTGATGGGCTGTCCCGTTGTCTAAGACTTTGCTCACTCTCCTGTGGATCATGTTATCATCGGTTTCTGTCTCTGGGACCGCGTATAGCGTACACTGTGTGTGTGTGTGTGTGTGTGAGAGTGAGTGAGAGAGAGGGAGAGCTGGAGACAGACAGGCACATAGTGAATCCGGCAGAGGCCGTGCGAGAGAGACAGTGTGCGAGTTAGAGTGTGACACTGTGTGTGTGAGAGAGGTAGACAGTGTGTGTGTGTGTGTGTGTGAGAGAGAGAGGTAGACAGTGTGTGTGAGAGAGGGAGACTGTGTGTGTGTGTGTGTGTGTGTGTGTGAGAGAGGGAGACAGTGTGTGTGTGAGAGAGGTAGACTGTGTGTGTGTGTCTGAGAGAGAGACAGTGTGTGTGTGAGAGAGAGGTAGACAGTGTGTGTGTGAGAGAGCGAGAGGTAGACAGTGTGTGTGTGTGAGAGAGAGAGACTGTGTGTGTGTGAGAGAGAGGGAGACTGTGTGTGTGTATGAGAGAGGGGGATGGTGTGTGTGTAAGAGAGGGAAGACAGTGTGTG